GGGGCCTGAAAAACATGACAGGATTTTATCTACCTCCCCCTCCCCCCTTCTCCTCCCCAGGTCCGTGCCTTCCACCACGCCTTCAGCACCAACGACTGCTCGAGGAACGTCTACATCAAGAAGAACGGCTTCACGCTGCACCGCAACCCCATCGCCCAAAGCACGGATGGGGCGCGGACCAAGATCGGCTTCAGCGAGGGCCGCCACGCCTGGGAGGTGTGGTGGGAGGGCCCGCTGGGCACCGTGGCCGTCATCGGCATCGCCACGAAGCGGGCGGCCATGCAGTGCCAGGGTTATGTGGCCCTGCTGGGAAGCGACGACCAGAGTTGGGGCTGGAACCTGGTGGACAATAACTTGCTGCATAACGGAGAGGTGAACGGCAGTTTCCCCCAGTGCAATAACGCGCCCAAATACCAGGTGAGCGGGGCTTGGTGCGGGCTGGAAGCTCCGCCGTGTCTGTCAAGAACCTCCTCCCTCATGTGTCCTGGCAGTCTGCTGTCCTAACGCCCACTTGAGGGTCTCTTTGCTTTCCCTTCCGGCTTGTGAGGCCTTTCCCCCTTCATTTACCGCTTCCTCGGGCTATACCTGCGTGCGGTGTTCGATGCACCTGACCCTCACTTGTTTCTGCCCTTTTATCTCAAATGCTGAGCGCGAAGCATGTATGTGTCTGTTTAGGCACCGTGAATGTCTGTGGGGTTTTGTACAGCAGTGTGAGCTGAGGTTAGCACTTAGGTAAGAGTCTTCCCGCAAAAAAACCTGCAGTAGTGCTGAGTGCTGCTTGTTTGCTCGCTGGCAGCGTTCCCGTAGGTGACCTCCCTTGGCTGGGATGCTGGGACGTGATGTTCGGATAATTTCAGGTTATTAAGGAGTGAGTGCCGTTCCACCTTTTTGTCCCTACAGAAGCGTTTGATATTGTTCTTCTGGCTGCTTGCACAACTATCTTTTGACTGCTGGATTTCCTCGTGTTGCAACTTAAGCTGTGTGCGTTATAATTTCCATCTCATAATGCTGTGGCTTTGTATGAATATTGGCTTATGTTTCAATTGTGGGTGAAGATCTCCTTAGTAACTTGTATCTGATATTCCTCAATTTCATGTAAAAGTTCACCGCCAAGCACTTAATTCTGCCTGAAGGTTACACCTGCCGTTTTTGGGAATAATACCTAAAATTAGTGTAATTAGAGAGATTTAGGTCTCTTTCTGTTTGCGCGTTCCCCAGCTTGCAGATTGTGTTGGCACTTTCCAGACTCGGCCCTTTGCAGTCACTTCCTGCTGTCCTTATCTAGGCCTTTCTGCAGCAACAGGGTGAGGAAAGATTTTGAAGGCAAGAGTCCCCAGCTCATGTGGGGACTCGAGGGTGAACGCAGTCGCTCCTTTCTCTGTAAAAATTGATGAGAGCTCAAATCGGTGATCCTTTGGAGCATTTTGTGTTTATTAAGACGTGTACAGTGATCTGCTCGTAGAAAACGTACTTGAAGGAAACGCATGCGTTTGGTAGCATTGGTTAGAAGAAAAACACGTTGGCTGGAAGAAATCCCCAGCCTTGGGGCTGGCTGGTGAAGACTCAGAAGTTTGTGTGGTGTCCTGCTGTGCTGGCATCTGGGACTTGTCTGAAAATAACGTTTACTAGATAAGCGCAGGGAGCGCTGTGCGTGCCTGGATCCAAGTCTCTTGCTGAGTTCAGTGTTGGTTTCACTCGTGTGTGTGTGCATATATATGTATGTTAGGTTTTTTGTGCTTATTTTGCCTAAGTTTTGCACTGGAATTTCCTTCTGCCTTGGTGAGCATGTATTCCGGTATATTTTTGTATGTGGCGCTTACCTTTCTAAAACAAGTTCATAGTCTTTGAAATTGCTCCTCACAGAGCAATTACAGCTCAGCGATGGCAACGGCGAAATACAGACCTCAGGTAACCTGGGGGCCATTACAAAGTTTCCAAACCTCGGCAGTTTTCTGAAGCGTGAGGCATGCAGTACGCTCACCTGGTGCTCTGGCACGGTTCACGTGAGACGGGTCACGTTTATTATCGCGTGGGTGGTGAGGTACAGCCTGCCCACTGGAACGGGCAGCAGAGGTACTCGGGATCTTAGTGAGTTTGAGCCAAATTGAGCCATTGCCATCACAAAAGTAATGCAATCATGAGAAACAGGAAAGTCTTGCTTTAATATACCTGCTGCGTGGGTTATGCTTTATTTTTGTGTCTCCGTTTGAATACGCTGACTCTTTCTATGTTTTTGGTTTGGGTTTTTTTTTATTTCCCCCTCCCGTCTCTGTTTCCAGATAGGTGAAAGGATTCGAGTTATCCTGGACATGGAAGACAAAACATTAGCCTTTGAGAGGGGCTACGAGTTCTTGGGAGTTGCCTTCAGAGGACTGCCGAAAGTTTGCCTGTATCCAGCGGTGTCTGCAGTGTATGGTAACACAGAAGTGACTTTGGTCTACCTGGGAAAACCTCTGGATGGATGACATGGATTGTTTCGTTGGGACATCGAGATGTGGATGATTGGGAGGAGAAATCTGCATGTTGGTTAGAGGGAAACACGTATTAGAGGAAAAACAAAAAAGTGTGGGTGTGTGTCCAAGAACCATCGAGGGAGTCACACAGAGTTTTGAAACGGAGGACCAGCCATACTTCAGGAATTGCGTTACATTTCCTCTTTCTACCAGGCCAGAAAAATCCTCAGGGTTGCAGTTGGTTGAGTGGGAAGCTGACACATGCATGTTGCAACAGATTTCATTGCTAAGATGGCAGTGTGTGACCTCAAATATTTAAGAAAGGATTTGATACAAAACTGCTTGAGGAAATTAACCTGAGATTTGTAAGTAGCGTGTTTTGTGAAAGACTCCCGTTTTAAAACTGCTTGTTCCTTCCCTTCCCTCCTTTGGGCCAACGTGGGTACCGGAGGAGAGTGAGTCTGGTTGGGTTTTATTTACAGTTTTTAACATACGGAGAAGCATGGTCTGTCTGGACTGCCCTTCTCTAGTATAATGATACAAAACGTGTGCAGCTATTTTTAAGTGTATTTTAAGGGTTGTATATACAGAACACGTTGAAAAGAACAGTTAAAAGAAAGGGTTTGCTTTATTCTAACTGGGACATAATTTCTTCAAGGGAGAAAAAAAAAAAAAAAGCCCCACTACGTGGCATCAGAAAATATACCTCGGACAGGTATATAACATTCATGTAAGTGTACTTCTTCTGTTGTGTCGTAAAGCATTTTGGGATGCTCTCGTGGAGTACGGTGCTACATTGGGTCATTTTCTGTGAAAGTTTCCATAGCTTTAGCAACAGTTTTGTTCTCTGTAGGAAACGCGAAACATTTTTGCCACACGTTTCCTTTGGCCAAAATTCACAGGCCCCTTTAGGAAAGGAAGGCACAACACAGCGCTGAGCTTGTCTTCCTTTTGACATCGAAAGAAATTAACTTTTAAAGCATTCTTACACTTTCTGATCACTGTTGCAAAACATTTCAAAATAATGAGGAAGGAGCATTCAGTTTCTGAATCCAGACCTTGTTTTCAGCTTAAAAGGCTTTGTAAGGCTTTACGACTTGGCTGAACCTTTCTTTAATGAAATAAAATCCCCCAGTACCCAAGTATTCACCTCCCTGTCCTCAGCCGGGACGAGTAGAACTTCCACCAGCCGTTTGATGGGGATTCTGGATCAGGTTTGGGCTTTTCACTTGCACCAGTTTTCTAAAAAAAAAAACATGTCCAACCCCCCTCTGGTGTGTCTGGCCTGCGCAGGCCGGGGTGGCTGTGATGCTGAGGGGTGTAGTAAGGGGGGACTTTCTGGTGAAACCGCTTTCCTCTGAGGTCGCATGGTCTGTAGGGGCCCCCAGAAGGGCTCCTTTTAGTAGGGTGTTAAAATCTGCCAGCCCCGCGGCTAGCTCTTGACTCTCGTTTCTTGTTGGCTGGTGTTTCCCAGAGCTGTCTGAACTATTTCAGAGTTGGGCACACTTGTCAGAGAGGGAGAAGGAAATATTTATACAACCTCTTTTTGCTTTATTTGCGCTAGAGAATGTGAATCGCTTACTATCGGACACTGGCAATTCTCTGAGCATGGAAGAGAGAGGAATTCCTTCCTCTTAGGCTGTTGCTCGTTTTTTTCCCCCCGTTACTCGAGTAACGCGAGGAGAGCGGTGCAGGGAGGTGAGAGAGGCTCCCAGTCTGCTGCTGACGAGCTGTCCTTGGCGTGCTTTTAACCCAGTAGATAACCAAGTTCTGCACTGGAACAGAGTATGAACATTATTACCATTTTAAAGGATTTTAAAGTATTTATTTGTTTTGTGTGTTGTTTATTGCTTAAAGGCAACAGTGAGGTCCGTTCCTCTTGGCTGCACTAAAGAAAACAAAACACACAGTGAGAAATGAAGATGTTTTAAGTGGTGCTGAGAACAACCAAATAAATGAAGTGGGGCGGGCGTACGCTTACCTTTTGGAAAAATCTGTTACAAGCATTGATTGTACTAGACTGTAAAGTATGTATCTGCATAGCAGAACCCTGGGCGTGAAGTGGGGGGGGAAAGGAGACAAAACCCTGTCCAATTTCAGAAAATCACATTGTCCCCGAGATGGATGTCCTCGCAGTGCAGTCCTGAAAGATGTGGCCTCTGCGCTTGTTCATGAATCCAATTAGATGCAAGTAAACCCTGAGAACTTCTGAGGAGTTTTATTCACAAATTAAGATTGATTTCCATTCTTCAGATTGCGTCTTACCCTATAAATAATTAATTTCCCTCTAAATTAGAAATGCTGAAAGTTGAACATTCCTTAAGGGTGGGTTTGGGGGGGACTCACTTATGTAAGATTATAACTTATTCCTGGAGACCAATGCTGGCTGTACAAAATATTAAAATAAACTCTGCTGTAATTCAGAAGGATATATCGGTGTGTGCTGGTGTAATGGCATCCGCCCTGCGGTGGCAGGACAAATGGAGTAGTGGTTTGGTGCGCGAAGAACGTTCCCAGTTTGTGACTGGGAACATGACGAGTGCTTAACGAGGACTTGTAAATTAGTCTAATAGCCGTGCTTGGGAAATTGCGTCCTCGGGAACAGGGATGCTTGCGTGTGACAATGGGAAAAGGATTCCTGATGGCTGGAGATCCCTTGATCAGAACGGAAGTGGTGTGCTCACCACTGCCCTGCCCTGCTGCTGCGCTTTCTGTACGGAAGTTCAATATTTTGCGGTGATTTTAGACAGAAGTAGGTGATTTTAGGGAGAAGTAGGAGACTGTTGTGGTTGGGAGCTCTGAAGCACTTTCCAAATTCTTTGCATCAAGAATTTGGTTTGAAGCAGTGAACTTCTTGCTAACTTCTCTGTCAGCTTCTTCAGGAGCAAAGAGGTTTGCTGCTGCCTCGCCAAAAATGTAGAATCACTTTTTGTAGCCTGAGGTATTCAAGAGTTGGCTAAACTGCTGTTTGGAGTATTCTCCCTACCCAGACTAGTGATTTGACTGTTTTGGTCGGGAGGAACATTGACTGTGCGCAGCTCCCGTAACAGAAATCAGTCAGATTCACAGGGCCTGGCTTCAGAATCCCGCAGGACATCTGCTATTTTTCAGTAAGTGAGCATTTTGTCTATTGCTTGAATAAAACTCAGAATTTTGCGTGGTTCCAAGTGTGCTGTGAAATCTTTTGGGACCTTAACAGTTGGACATTTGACCTGATCGCACCTCTGCATCCGAGGAAGCGGAGAGCTCGGTACGGCCGTTTGTTTCGGGGCAGTGTCTGTCGCTTCTTGTGTTGGCCCAAAGTCGGTTGTGCGACTTCTTGTTCCATCAGAGGACGGAGGTGTTGCTGGAACGAATTAATCAAGGTGGCAAGGGAAACTCACCCTGGTAGGGATATTTTCTTGAAAACATGTATTTTTTCCCCCCACTTCAGATGCAGTGGTGAGTGTGCGTTTTTGGGAGTCCTGTGTGTGCCTTCTACTAGCAAATGCCATTTGGTTTTGTGACTTCTGGCCGTGTTTCAGGTGACAAAACTAGCTGGGAGCAGATGGCCTTGATCCTGCGGGCTGAACGTCTGCTGCCTCGGATGCGGCTGGATTCTTCTCTGCCTGCCGCCAAATCCAATCGCAGGCTGGAACGTGTCAGCTTTTCTCTCTGCTTACCGACAATCTACATTTTTAAATTTCCTTAACACACTGGCCTGTTTTCCAGATGGCTGCCTCTATTTTTTTTCCTCTTCCATTTTCCCTGGGATGATGACAGCGGCAATGAATTAAACAACGCTCGGCCTGTTAATAGTTTGAGCATCAAAACTTATTTTCTCTAAGTATTTAGAGGTAACCAGCCCTCAGTGATTCCTGAACCTGTGCGTTTCAATACTGATACTTCTGTCCTAGCGAAATCTTTACATGTTATAAATAGCTCTGGATGCTGGCAGGAACGCAGCTATAAGCACTGTATGTGCTGTCGTTCTCCGGAACAGCGCCCGTTCTTGCATAATACAGATAATTTGGTGAAATGCTTAGCCAGAAAACGGCATTACTGAGATCTGCGCTAGGATCCTTTCTCCATTTACAGAACGGGTTTTTAAACAGTTAGGAGCGTGACGTGTGTGATTTCTGCGACAGTAGTCCACCTCGCGCTAAGGTATAATTCTGTTGAAAGGAAAATTAACTAAGCGGTAAACGAATACAGAAAGCTTTTCCTGCAGTGATGCTGAACCTGCTAATTTATACTTTAAGCAGCTTTTTTCATACCGCCGTATGGTGCTGTACGTGTTGTGTGACTTCCGAATGAATTCTCACCCCTCCCCACAAGAGGGCAAAGTCAACAGCGCTCTGGGAGCCTGAATTGCATTTCCGAAGCCTTGTGCAACATAAATGTTTAATGTGGAACCTTCTCCTTTAGCATTTGCTTCCTGGCCTCCTAAAAAACCAAAACAAACTTAAAAAAAAAACCCTCAATAAAACAGATGATGTTTGAAAAGTGGATAACGGACATCATCATTTTTAAAATACACTTCTTCGTTTGAACCCTTGATCCTGAAATCAGGCTGAGCAAATCTTTGCATTTCAGAGAATTATTTTTGATGGCAGCAAACTGAGCTGAGACTCTGAGATCACCTTAAAAGATACAAAAGGGATTGGAGAGGCTCAAACAAAATGTCGGTGTTGCTGTTCAAGGTCTATCTTTTCCCAGACTTGCTTTTCTTCCTCTCAGGCATCTATGACCAGGAAACAGTGATATCATCAAAAGATTATTTAAAACAAAAAAATTCCATTGCAGTTTAAAAACAAAAAAAGAAACCAAAATAATTGAAAAGGGATTTTAAAATAAAACTCATTGTATATTACAAGTGTTGTTTGCTCTTCTGCAATTTTACCAGCTCAAGAAACAAGGCTGTCTTTTTCCTTCCACGCCTCCACTTGCAGATTTGGTGTGAGCTACCTGGAGTTGTTTCATGTTTGCTTGATTTATTTTGCCTTTTTAATCCGTATTGTTCTACCTGCATTAAAAGCGATATATTTACCTGCAGGCAATGTTTGAACGGGGAAAAGCCTGAAGGTGTAACCTTGCCCGTTCTTGTCTTTTGCGCAGTGTCTGATCCCGGTTTCTGCAGCTTAAAGCTTTGCTATTTTCAGCCCGAAACAGCTGGAGCATTACCGTGCGTGGAAATGAGTGACCGTCCTGAGACACGTCACCCTCACGTATCTGCCATGGTTTACTGCTATGTCCCCAAATATTTTGCTGTATGTTTTGCAAAGTGATTTTTAAAAAAAATATATTCTATTGCCCTTTCTTGAACTTTTGATTACAGGCCGTGCCCCCGCTCTCGTTTGCACAGTGCAGCCTGCGCGTCTTTAGAGACACGCTCCAAAGCCAGATGTGAAAACAGCTGTTTCACAACAGTCTGTATGTTACAGCTACAAAATGCAATTCCCCGGCAAACGTTCACGCCCGGTTACGGACCTGCA